GCTTTTCAGACCGATGAGTTTTGTAAAAATCGACGCGTTTCAGAAAGGCGGGGCATAGAGGAGAAACAATAATGTACAGTATGTGGAAAAAAATGTGTTTTTTGAACCTTAAACCGCATAAACACATTTCATTGCACCAAATACACAAAATAATGTTCTTTTTAGCAACATCATATGACCCCTTTAAGAAAAGTCAGTGTAGCTAAATATTTGGTCAGCTTGTATGGATGAGAGGCTGCTGTAAAGATAATGTCCTGAAAACAGACGCCCTCAAGGGTAAGTGAACCGGCTCTTATTTCATTTTGTGCGCTGTTGGTCACGCAGTGCCTAAGATCAGCTGACATTTCAGTGAGGGTTTCCCATGCAATCAAACGACTTGGTTTGATCTAATGGAAATCGGTTACTTGTCTGTAGTTAATCCTTGGTCACATGTACACTACCTTTCAAGATGTTTTCAAAATAAGTCTCTCAAACTGTGCAAAAATATAGTAATAGTGTGATATATTATTAGAGTTTAAAATAAAGTTCAAAATAGAAGGAATGTATTCCATTTTTTTTTAAACATTACAAACTTGTGTTTGAAGGATTAGTTTATGGTTTATAGTGCTACATTCGTTTAGTTTATGGTTTATAGTGCTACATTCATTAACTGAATATGTTAATCTGGCTTGCAACTGTAGTTTCTGAAGATCAGTTTCTACATATATCTGATGTTCTCAGCACTGTGTTAGTTTAATCAAGTAATCAAACTTAACTGAGATAAACAACAAAGAGCCATCATATTCAATTCATCATACTCAGTAGATAACGGACTGTTAAATCAGCTAACATTTGAAAAAGACTGTCAATACACTGTATAAATCATTGACAGGTCTTAAAGGAATTGTTCGCTCAAAAATGACAATTTGTTGAAAATTAACACCCTCAGGACATCCAAGATGTAGATGAGCTTGTAATTTCATCAAAACAGATTTGTAGAAATTTGTCATTCCATCAGTTGCTCACCAATCTACAGTGAATGGGTGCCGTCAGAATGAGCGTCCAAACAGCTGTTAAAAACACACAATAACTCCATCAATTAATGTCTTGTGAAATGAAAAGCTGTGTTTTTAAGAAACAAATCCATCATTACGGTATTTTAAC